CAGACTGCGAGAGGGCACAGGCTGGGCTGAGGGACCCCCCCCCCCGAGTGCACACATTTTTGTGCACCAGGCCTCTAGTATTGTTATAATTAAGATGAGGCTTATCTGTAATCTAAAAATAAAAATGAATGACTTTTTGTAAAGTCTTTCCCTACACACACAGGAAAAAGATCATGACTATTCAGGAAATGATGAATAAGAAATAGAAATAATCTAAGAGCTTCTATCCAATGCCATACCTGAAATGTATTGCAGTAGAAACAAAATAAATTACTATTTCCAAAATAAATAATTACTATTTCCTGAAATAAATGTTGAATATGTAATTTTTATTTTTTCCCAAATAAATGCAGAGCAAAGGATAGTAGGAAATAGAAAGGTAATGAGGCATGAAGAACATATTCCTATAGAGAAAGTATTTCTTCCTCCATAACAAATGTGTCTGTATTTCCCTGATGGGTTGCCCAGTCATTTGAAAACATATGAGCAACGTTGCCCTATTTTGCTGTTACAAATCTTGGTCTTCCAAGTTATTTATTAACTACAAAAGGAATGATGGCAACTTTATAAGTGGAAAACCCAGCAGACACTACTTTAACCAAATGATCAAGGTTAACATCAGTAACAGGACTTACTGACATCATAAAACCTTTGATGTGAAACATTGAGAAGGAAACACCATAACTCTGTGGCATTTTTGCCAAAAATTCTAACCTCAATCCAATTATGAGAAAGCCTCAGACAAATACAGATTGAGGGACATTCTACAAAATAACTGGTCAATACTTTCAAAAGTGTCAAGGTCTTGAAAGAGAAGGAAAGACTGAGGAAATGTCACAGATTAGAAGAGACTAAAGAGAAATAACTGTTTAATGGTATGTGAAACCCTGGATTGAATTATAGATCACAAAAAGAACTTTAGTAGAAAAACTGGTAAAATTTGAATACGATCTGCAGTTCAGTTAGTATTATACCAATGTTTTGGTAATTATAGCATGGTTATGTAAGTAATTAACATTAGGGAAAGCTGGCTAAGGGTTATATGGCAACACTGTACTATTTTTGTGCTTTTTCTGTAAATCTAATATTAGCTCAAAATATAAAATTAAAAAAAATTAAAAATCAGAGGACACCAAAACATTAGTGGACATTAAGGACACATTGTAGAGTGGCCCAAATGTCAGGATGATGTGACTTAAACATTGCAACCATGTGTAATTTCTCTTTATCCAGTCTTAACAAATGGTATCTACCATTAGTATCACTCCACATATCTATTCAGCCTGCTAGGTGCTATAGTGCTCACTGTCATTACACCATCTGATTTTAGTAATTTAAATTGGCTACATTACATTAGTTTTTTTAAAAAACCAAAGAAAAAGCTCAAAATTTTTTGAAAGCACTGCCATCTGCTCCTATAAAATGCTATATTTCCTTTTATCTGATATTCACTGTCTACCAGACCAAAAATATGTTTCCCATCATCATGTCATTCTAACTTCAGTGGTAAGGAAGCTTACCACTTATCAAAATAATGCTCCAATATTTTTGGTATTTAAGTGTGAGAAATCAGTTAGTCTGACTCCACATAAAAACAAAACACACCTCGTAACCCCCCTTTCCCCAATTTGTCTCATCTTCATTCTCTGGGAATAGAATTTTTGGAACCAGTTCTCACCACAATGTGGAAAATACATCTAATTTCCAATGATCAGTTGCCAGATAGTTAAGGGTTTATTCTGTCAGAACTGTCTCATTTTTACAAGAGCAATTAAGTCTTTTCCAGCTTGAGGCTAACATTCTTCAAATTGATTCAGATGCAAAAGCTGAAGTGAAATTCAAACTAAGCAAGAAGTGATTTTCATCTGGACTCCTACTAAATGAAGTTAATCATAACATGTATATGAAAATTCTTAACTATTTTTAAAGCTATAATACACTTTGCAGATATATATTTTATAAACAGTTGTTTATATAATATAGTTGGTTGCAGTTGTAAACAGCCAAACATCAACTTATCTTGAGCAAAGTTAGGCTCTAATTTTTAGTATGAAATTATATAAACATCAAATCTTAATTATGAATCTGTTTATTTTGGTGGCCATTGGTATGTCAGAATTCCTTGAGCTATAACCTAATATATAGGAGTTGGGAAGTGAATAATAGAAAGGAAATAGAGGTAATTAGATATGGAATACCTTCAAGAGATTTACTTCAGTAGGTTGATAAGAATGACATGGCAGATGGAGAAAATGATTGTTCTAGAGTTAGGAACTTGCTGATAAATATGGAGGAGCTTTGAGGGGAGATAACAAGGACACACATGGAAGACTGAGCCCTCAGTGATGTGGAGGAAACCTGTCTCTGAGGTGGAAGGTAGGAGAGAAGTTGAAGGTAGATGAGGATGCAGAGAAAGTATAGGTGGAGTGGAGGAAAGCTGATGTTAACAGCATATGATTTCTGTTCTTTTCCAGCAAAGTCAGATAATAGTGGATGTGTTGGGAAGACAATGGAAGCAAGAAAGGAGGAGTTTGGGGCTTTAGGGAAATGGACTCAGCACTGTGGAGACTGGCATTGATATTAGTGAAAGGTTCCTGGAAAATAAAGAACAGGTAGCCCACATTAATTTGTAGTACAATCATTACCTAAGCTTTGAGGTTTTTTCTAGCACCCTGGGCATATTAGTTGTGATTTTTCTATAATTCCATTATTTCCTTTCTAATGAATTTTAAGCAAGTTTACATTTATTCTAAGAAATAGCCACTGGCATTTTTTTCCTGTAAAGTCTAAATGAGTCCATTCCAGTCCATTTTATAATCTTCCCTATCTTTGTGCTTATTCTAGCTTCCCAGATGTTGGCTATACCCCTCAATTTCTTCCTTGCCAAGAATTGTATAAATGTGCTGTTTTAACCTTGTTCTGCATTCATGAAAACAGGGAAGTTTTCTTTTCTTCTCTCCTATAAACAAAGAATAGGCCTTCCTATGATTTTTTTTTATTGAGGTAAAATTGGTATATAGTATCATATTAGTTTAAGGTGTAGAGCATAATAATTTGATATTTGCATACAGTACAAAGTGCCTGACCAGAATCAAATCCAAAACCCTTCAATTCTTGAGCTGATGCTCTATCCACTGAACCAAACCAGCTAGGGTTCCTTTGATAACAACCAATCTATTCTCTGTATCTATGAGTTTTGTTTATTTTGTTCATTCATTTTGTTTTTGAGATTCCACATATAAATGAAATAATATTGTATCTGTCTTTGTCTGACTTATTTCACATAACATAATACACTCAGTGTCCATCCATGTTGTCAAAAATTGAAAGAGTGGTATTCCATTGTAAATATCACTTCTTTATCCATTCATCCATCGATGTAGACTTACTAGTAGGTTGTTTTCATGTCTTGGCTATTGTAAATAATGCTGCAATGAACATATGGGTGCATATATCTTTCAAATTAGTGTTTTTCTTTTCTTCGCATAAATACCCAGAAGTAGAATAGCTGGATCCTATGATTTTAAAGAATGTGTTTAACAGATTGTGGGTTGCCAAAGGTGAGGGGTATTGGGGTCAGGTGGGTACTTGAAATATCGGGGGAATCACTTTGTAAAGTATATGATTGTCTAACCACTGTGCTGTCCACCTGAAACTAATACGAAATAATATTGAATATAAATTGTAACTGAAAAATGAAATTTATTTTTTTTAGAAAAGAAAGTGATTAAAAGTGAAATTTGTTCATGGAAGACCTATAATCTGGCAATGAATGTTGAAGACAGGATGGGTTGGGGCTGGGAATAGATGAATAGTCAAATATGAAGAAAGAAAGAAAGAAATACCTAAGAATAAATTTAACCAAAGATATAAAAGACCTGTACTCAAAAAATTATAAGACACTGAAGAAATAAATTGAAGAAGCTACAAATAAGTGAAAGCATATATAGTGTACATGTATAGGAATAATTAACATCATTAAAATGTCCCTACTACCCAAAGCAATCTATACATTCAACACAATCCCTATCAAGATACTAATGGTGTATTTCACAGAAGTAGGACAAAAAATTTCAAAAATTTATATTGAACCACAAAAGACCCCAGATAGCAACAGCAATTTTGAGAAAGAAGAACAAAGTTGGAGGAATTATGCTACCTGATATCAAACTATACTATAAGGCCATAGTAATCAAAACAACATGGTGCTAGCATTAAAAAAGACAAAAAGTCAATTGAACAAAAAAGAGAACTCAGAAATAAACTCATGCCTTTATGGTCAATTAATAATATTTGACAGAGGAGGCAAGAACACATACAATGGGGTAAAGACTGTCTATTCAATAAAAGATGTTGGACAGATATGTGCCAAAAAAGTAAAACTACATCACCTTCTTATACCATACATAAGAATAAACTCAAAATGGATTAAAGACTTAAAATTTTACACTCGAAACCATGAAAATCCTAGAAAAAAAAAACATAGGCAGTAAAATCTCAGACGTTTCTCATAGCAAAATGTTTTCTGATATATCTCCTCAGGTGAGGGAAACAAAATAAAATCTAAATAATTGGACTACATCAAACTAAAAAGGTTTTACACAGCAAAGGAAACCATCTACAAAGTGATAAGACAACCCACTGAATAGGAGAACATTTTCACCAATGATACATCTGATAAGGGGTTAACATCCAAAATTTATAAAGAACTGATAAAATTCAACACCGAAAAAACAAACAATCCAATTTAAAAATGGACAAAGGACCTGAATAGACACTTCTCCAAAGAGTACATACAGATTGCCAATAGACATATGAAAAGCTAGTCAATGTCACTAATAATCAGAGAAATGCAAATTAAAACCACAATGAGCTATCACTTCATACCTGCCAGAATGACTACTATCAATAAATTAACAAACAGCCAATAAGTGGGGGCAAGGATGTGGAGAAGAGGGAACCCTTGTGCATTTTTGGTGGGAATGCAGACTGTGGAAAGCAGTATAGAGTTTCCTCAAAAAATTAAAAATACAACTGCCATTTGACCCAGTGATTCCACTTTTGAGAATATATCCAAAGAAGTCTGAAACACTAATTCAAAAGAATATATGCATCCCTATGTTCATAGCAGCATTATTTACAACTAGAGGCCGGGTGCACAAATTTGTGCATGGGTGGTTGGCTGGCTGGCCCCTCCCCCAATTAGGGTGGGGGGGGCCAATTGGGGGCGGGGCTGGCAAAGGGAGGGGCTGTTGGCCAGCCGGCCCCGCCCCCTGGTTGAACTCCCAGTCGAACTCCCAGTGGAGGGGGCAATTTGCATATTAGCCTTTTATGATATAGGATAGCCAGGATTGGGAAGCAACCCAAATATCCGTCAGTAGATGAGTGGATAAAAAAGATGTGGTACATTTACACAGTGAAATACTACTCAGCTGTAAAAAAAACAAAAAGAAGAAGATCTTGCCCTGGCTGGTGTGGCTCAGTTGGCTGGGCACATCCCATGCACTGAAGGGTTGCCAGTTTGATTCCTGGTAGGGGCACATGCCAGGTTACAGGCTTGATCCCTGGTGGAGGGCGTGCAGGAGGCAGCAAATCAATGTTTTGCTCTTGCATCGATGTTTCTCTCCCTCTCCTTTCCTCTCTCTCTAAAAATCAATGAAAAATCTTTAAAAAGAAAAAAGAGGGGGAAGGAGGAAATCATACCTTTTGTAACAGCATGGATGGACCTGGAGATTATGTTAAGTGAAATAAGCCAGTCAGAGGAAGACAAATACCATATGATTTCACTTATATGTAGAATCTAATGGATAAAATAAACTAACAAAATAGACAGAGGCTCATAGATGCAAAGAACAGACTGACAGCTGTCAGAGGGGAGGGGATTGGTGGGCTGGGTGAAAGAGGTAAAGAGATTAAGCAAAACAAATATACAAACAAAAAATCCTCATAGTCAGACAGCAGTATGGTGATTACTAAAGGGAAAAGGGGGGTGGGGTGGTAAAAAAGGGTAAATTGGGAATAAATAAATGGTGATGGAAGGAGACTTGACTTGGGGTGTTGAACACACAATACAATGTACAGATGATGTATTATAGAATTGTACACCTGAAACCCATATAATTTTATTAACCAACGTCATCCCAGTAAATTCAATTAAAAAAGAAAACTTCGACTGGTTTCCTACTGCCTTTTGAGTAGAATCCAAACACAGTAGCCTTGCATTCAAGGTCCTCTACAAGGTGGTCTAAATTTATCATTCCGTAATAGTCTCCTATTTACTCCCTACATAACACACCCTAAAATTCCATCAAACTGAACTAGTTCTTCCCCAAAGGTGCCTTGCATTCCATGTCTCCATGCCTGGTAGAGTGAAGGTATGTCATCCCATATATAACCTGAGTTTAAATCCTAACTCAGCCCCTTGTCAGCTGTGTGACGTTAGTCAGGGATGTATAGAATCAGTGGTCCTCAGTTTTCCCCCCTAGCTACTTACGAGAATCAAGTAAAACAATGATTACCACAGCAGTGGAAGAACTGTATAATGCTATTAAAATGTAAAGTGTTCTTTCATTCAACAAATATTCATTTAGCACTCACTTCTTGCCAAGCAACAGTATTGCTGCTATTCACTTTCCAAATGAATGGTATAGATATACTTAAGGAGACAGAGCCAATCTGAATTCAGCAAAAACAACCAGCAAAATCAGGACATAAAGAAAACCCTCATAAGCTTAAGGTTTGATAAATACTGTTCTTGAAAAACATCATTTGTGGATGGATTGATGGCCAGTTTCAGCCCTAAACCATTTTCCTTTAGAATATACAAACATCTTTGTTGCTGCTTTTCTGGACACCAAAATCAATTCAGATCAATAACTTAAATAAAAGAATTCAAAAAACTTATTAGAAATAGGAGTAGACTCTATTTCTTTTATTGCTCACAATGTGAATCTGTGATTGAAAAACAAAATGTATTGCTTTAAGTAAGCTTATGTCTTGAATCTCTTTAATCCATGCCAGATGGAATGTTCAGGAGCAGATTGTACAAGCAAGCTTGCAAGGGAACATGGCCTTGTAAATATAGCTTCTCTTAGTGATGGCTGTGACTCTATGTGGTATAAGAGAAGACCTCACTGAAAAGGGTTTTGTTGTGTGTGTTTTTTCACTGTAGTTATCAATACAAAAAGCACATACCAAAAAGTACATTTTCTCTGGTACTGGCAGACTAGTTGTACAAGTGCCAATAAAATTATTTGTTGATTTCCAGAGACTTGGGGATAGAGGAAACAGGTAGACAAAAAAGCTACCCAGTGAACAAGCTGTTTCTCTTTTTCTTCCTCCCACCCCTCCTTTTTAAAAAATCCAAAATAGAAATTTCAAAGCTTGAAAAACTTCAAGGCAATTTAAGTTGTTTCCCATGACTTTAAACACTGAATGTTCACACCTACGTCAGTACTACATTGAGAACCTCCCACTCAAAGACTGTATTTAGGAAAGAAAGGATGCTATGGTCTGAGATCAGGCCTAGATTTTGAGGGATCGTGAGTTCTTCAGCAAGACCCCAGAGTTCAGCAGATTTAATTCATACTCCTCAGTAGAGAGTCAAGGCAACGTTTTCAGGATGTTTCCCTTTAGGGATAATTACTGGAGGTAAAAATATATATTATAAGATAAATGCAGTAAAATCCCGGTATAACCTGCTTCATCATTCCCATATATTCTGCTCCATGCAATAAATTTGTTCTAATGAATCAACCCCAGGATTCTCCTGATATAATCCTGAAGGATAGGCATTGCTATTTCTCCTCACACTTAAGCACTGACAACAGTCCATGCCCCATTTTCTTTAACAGTGTTTGCACCTTTATTGGTTTTCAATATATGGTGTGATTTTTCTGATCATCCCTTTTCTGGGAAAGTAAATTTTGGTTTTGATGTTTAAGACATAACATGGCCAAATTGTATATCACACCCCACCATTTTCATGGTTTTTTTTAAGCTTAAGCCAAGCCAGGTGAGTAGGCGTCATCCAAGATTAAATCTTGCTGACTTTTTTCCCCAAAGAAAAGCTAGCAAACAGGAGGTGATAAATGCTATGCTTCCTACTCAGACTCTGTCACATAATATGTCAGTTCTTTATTTTAATTATATTCTTTGCCAGCTCAAAAAGGCAATAATTTTGCTGCATATAATCCTACCCCTTTTAGAGTTCCTCACAAGCAGCAGTGGAAGGTCTTTCATTTGTTGTGCTAGAGCTGGTCTTAATATCCAATTCCAAGCCAATCTCTTGGTGTCCTGGAGAAAGAAACAGATTATTGGTTGTCAAAAAAGCAGATCAAACAATTACTAAAATGCAAGCCAGGTATGAAAAATGAAACACTGTTCTTCAACAATATAGCAATTGGAGATAGTTTTTATTTGCTTTTTAAGAACAAAACCCATACACTTAATCCACAGAAGTAGTAATATTGACCAAAGGGGCAAACATAATACAAACATCATCAGGAAGACACTGGAAATAAAGGTGAAACTAAGAGTCCATAGCTTAATTCGGTTTCCAAGAACTGGACCCTAATATGAGGATTCTCTTGCCAGTTATGTACTAGTATTTGGGAGGCACAGGGACCACTGACAGGATAATGAGAAAGGAAAATGGGAAAGTGCTGGCAACATTCTCAGGAAGAGTCCATTACTAAGCCACTACCACAGTGAACAACTGGAGCTTAACCTTGAGAGAAAATTCTTGGATATGCTGTAAAATATATTCCTCAGAATGATTCCACAGAGACTGAAGGAGCTGGGGCTTTTATACCCCAACTTCTGGCAGTCATTGGTAGAGGGCTACTGAGGGGGCAGGGATTATTTCATCAACATTTTTGTTTGTTTGTTTGTTAATCCTCACCTGAGGATATTTTTTCATTGATTTTTCAGGAAGAGTGGAAGGGAGAGGAGAGACAGAGAAAAACATGAATGTGAGAGAGACACATCGATTGGTTGCCTCCTGCACGTGCCCCTACCAGGGCCGGGGATCGAGCCTGCAACCAAGGTACATGCCCTTGACCAAAATCGAACCCAGGACCCTTCAGTCAGCAGGCTGACACTTTACCCACTGAGCCAAACCAGCTAGGGCTCATCAACATTTTTTATCTGCCTTTCTAGTTTCAGAAAAAGCACTCAAGCCCAGAGATACAGACATTGGCAACTGGAAGTGGGCTGGAGCATGCTGACCAGTCAGGTCCAAGGGAGTGAGTGACAGCATCTGCTACAGCTTCCCTTTGTACCAAATCATGATATCCTCAGAGGAATAATGCCCATGTCATGGGACCTCCAGTTAGGTTCACCAGATTTAGCAAATAAAAATACATGATGCATAGTTAATTTGAATTTCAGATATATAAAATAATTTGTTATTATATGTTTTGTATTTTTTATAAGATTGTCAGGTGT